CAAATGCTACTTTTTCCATAAATATGTATTTGTGTGTTTCTTTAATCTGTGTATATACTTTTGTCCAAACAGAAGATCGCTCATATTTTTAACACATGCAGTGTTTTAAAAATCAATCAATCAGCGCTAACCATGGCAAGCAACCGTGACCTCCACAAAAGGCCATACTGTTTTCATGTATGTGCTACTACAGGTCTTGAGGGGGGAATTATGAAATTATCCTTCATCACTAGTTGAATTAACAAGGAAGTACACTGCAAACAGCATAATTTTCAGAGATAAATACTCAAATGAATGAAAATTAGTAAGTCAAGGAGAAGTCATTGTAACATGTATTGTGATTATTTATGTAATCCCATTGTTGCATATGACTCTTAACAGATTATTAAAATGCTGGTAAATTCCTGCTTGTGGCGTGTACAGTTGAAGCCGGGTGTCTGAAGCCGGTTACCCAGCTCAGTGAAAGGGTTAGATAGGTTGCAGCATAGGGTGGGCAATATGGGTGAGGAAGTGATGGCGGTGAAATGATTCAATGGCAACTGATTTTGTGGCGTATTATTGTCTTTGCATACCTATATATTTCTTAATTCAATCATTTATATTGATTGGCTAGTGTTTTGCTATGGTAGCAATTGTGACATCTTAAACTAATATCTTACCGAATTCTTCTTTGTTAATGCAACATAAAGGAATTGTCAAACAAACGACAATTTTTTGAACTAGCAAAGTGCTACTGTCTTTAAGGTGACTTTACAGAATACAGTGAAATGCTACAAAAGTTGGGGAAAAGCTACTTGTCTGCGTTTTTGCTGCTGATAAAAAATAATTGTAGTCTACATGCACATTGCATGCAGATGAAAATATTTACTCTCCGATCTACTGAGAGATCAGAGCTAGACTTCTGAAAAGCTGCCCTAATAGTGATGTTTAATTTACAATCTGTTGGGCCTTTTTTTCCTAGAAAAATTCTAATTGCTATCGTTAAAAGTTAGTAATACAGAGTATATCATCCAAAGGTGTTGTCACAATAGAGCATTAAAAATTCCTCTAAACTTTTTATATGAACTAGGTGTGTAATTTTAACTTCCCTCTTGGCATTTTTACTTTCTTTCTACCCTGCCTTTCCTAACCTCTTTCTCATATATCTTTCAAATATAGCTCTCTAATGTAATTGTTCATGAAAATTTCTTAGATGAAGACTTTGGATTTGGCACATTAAACTGACTTCAGGAGGCATTTGAAGGTTGAAAACAACCTGCTTTAAAACTTTAAACACTTTGCTTTACGTGTTTCTCTTTTTCTGATAAGTTATGCGTCGGGGCTGAAAATTTGTTGGGCCTGGTGTATTCCTGAAACCTTTCTCAAGGGAAAGAACCCATTGACTTTCTTTTTAATTTATACATGGTTACAGCAAAAAGCAACTAAAAAATTAAAATGTAAAATTTTACAGGGAAATAGTTGTGGCTGTTTTCATAGTTGAGAGAGAAAGCAGTTTTGATTAAATACATTTAGAAAGGCTTGAGTGACTCTGAAAACCAAAAGAAATGAGGGCTGCAAGGTTCTTTTCTCATCCTAAATAGAAGAAAGTAGCACTTATTCCAGCGTGCAGATCCTGCATTGCTGCCCAGGTTTTAGACTGAACCTCTTCAGAAAAAAAGAGAGTTAAAGAATGTTTTTTATAAGGGAGAGCAGTGGACGATATTTGGAAAGAACTGGCAGGTTTGAAAGGGGAAGAAGAAACTCCTAAATAATAGCAGTCGTCCGACACACCATACCCTGAGATGTTACCCTGAGTGCATTACTACTCTTCCGAATCCCATGGTAGCAGATGGATGGTTACGGGCATAAGTCCAGCTTTTCCCAGTTGGTCCATCCAGAGTCGCCTGGCTAATGCTGAGCCAAGGGTATGCGGGTTTTCCCGCGTCTCTCCACCGGACTGCCTGTGTTACCAAAGCGCATCCAGAACCAGCGGCTGGCTTTGCTTTCGGTGGGGCGTGTATGGTTGTAGCACTCAACTTTGTGTTTGGAAGCGGTTCA